GCACCCGTGGGGTCTCTGCGACCCTAGTTAACAGAGGCTCTCGGAGGCAGACAGGGACATGGGGACCCTGGGGGAACAGGGAGGTGGAAGCAGCAGAGACCAGCCCCCTGTGTGGGACTGACCAACAGTGCCATCAGGGACAGAGGGCAGTTCAAGTGAAGGAAATGGTGCTCTGAAGAGCAGACAGTGACCTTGGGCAGAGCTGGCCAGGGACCCCAGCCCCTGTCCAGCTGCCAGGAAAGAAAGGGAGGACAATTCTGCCCTGGCACCCACCTCCATCAGGGCCAGGTGGGCCATCCAACAGGCTGGGTCTCCTGGGAAAGCCCAGGGGGCCAGGAGCCAGGGTACAGAAGGGGCGGGACCTGACCACAACAGGTCAGAGTTCAAGAGGAAGAAGGTCACCACGTGGGGCCACGGAGGCTACCTCACTTTCTCAGGCAGCCCACTCTGTGCCAGGCTGGTTCCAGGACTTTGGACAGGGACAGGGAAGCCACAGAGGCAGGTCACAGCTGCGCGGGGCGCCACTCACCCGCGGTACTCGATGTACTTGTAGATGCAGCCGGCGATGAGCATGGCGAAGAGGGCATAGTACCAGGAGCAGATGAACATCAGGGCCAGGCACAGGCTCATGCCGAGGAAGGACAGCGTCCTGGGGGACACACAGCTCAGGTGCCGCTGCCCACAGAAACTGCCCTTCCCTTTATGACCCTTCCTCTGTGCTGGGAAAACATGCTGGCCACCTGCCTGTCGGGCCCTCCCAGCCTAGGCTGACCACAGGTGGGCCCAAGAGGCCCACATGTGTCCTGGGGTGGACAAAGAGCATGGAGGCAGACAGGCCACAGGCTCTGGGCTTTGCAGGCTGGTTCTGCAGGGCCACGGGGGCCCCGGGCCCAGGCCACCGCCAGCCTTGAGGCATCCTTACCAGTGGTAGTACTTGAAGCGTGGACGCCAGTTGGGTGTTCGCAGCAGGGTCTGCACAGCGCAGGCCAGGTTCACAAACATGTAGCACATGAGGAAGAACCTGCAGCAGGTGGGCAGCACAAGGGGCCACCGACCACTCAGCCCACAGTGGCCCCCACCGGCTGCCCTGTCCACACTCTGCTCACGACTGCACTCCTCGGGGTCCTCTGTCCACACTGTGGTCCCCTCACCATGGGAGTCTCACTCATCCCCAAGTCCAGCTCCAGTAGCTGACTGGCCTCGTGGACACACCCCACCCTGCCACCGACAGCCACGTGTGGCACAGCCCTGGTGTCCACCACAGCAGCCTTTGGTCAGCCACGCAGCCTTGGTGACCAGATAGCTCAGCACCCACGTGACCCTGTGGCCTGCTGCCCTGCTGTCTCCTGCACCTTCCCGAATGCATGGCCCTGTGCCCTCACGGGGCCACTCACATGGACAGGATGGGGGCCACACTGTCCAGGGAGGCAATGAGGATGCCCATTTCACAGATGAGGGTTGTGAGCAGCAGGGCCCAGGTGGGCTCACCGTTGGCCTTCCCATGTCCGAACACCTGCAGGGAGGAGGCACGTGGGCTGGGGGCAGGAAGGGTCTCCCTCGGGTGAGCCACCCAGCGCCCGCCAGCAGGGCTGCCAAAGACGCAGGACCAGAAGCCCAACCTCCAGGACAGACCACCTGGGCCCAGGAAGAAGTAAGTCCCGACAAGGAGAGGCCCTGACAGCCAGCCCATGACACCTGGAGCTCAGACGTCAGCCTCCAGAGCGCAGAGAAAATAACCTTTTCTCCTGTGTGTGCACACGTGCGCTGGGGCCCGGGGACCACTAAGGACGGACCCTGGTCCCACTCGTGCTGGACGAGTACTACCGCTGACTGTCCCGTGACTTTCTGTTTTGAGGTCTGACTGCAGGTGTGGTGCAGCCCTGTGGCCCAGTCACTCCTCTGCATGCCACCGACTTCCCATGCTCTGCAGGAGGTCCCCAGACACCCAGGCCCTGGCTGACGTGCAGTGGGACAGCAGGGAGCGTCCCCCTCAGGCGAGGAGGACCAACATGGGCCTCATGGCTGCTCGCAGAATAAGTCTCAGAGGCATCTGCTGGCCTGGAGGGCAGGGGCTGCTCTGCCCACCACACCACACACTCAGCCCCGCATCCAGAGGGATGGTGACCACTGGCTGGGGTGGAACACGTGTCTACTCTCTTTACCCTAAGGGTTAGGGTTAGGGTGAGGGAGCAGACCCTCAGGGACCCTCACACACAGAACCCTGACCTTCCCAGGGCTCCTTCCCTCAGCAAGGCACCCGATGTCCACCTTCCACAGCCTGGGCCAAGGGCTCACCTGCAGGAAGGGGACGATGCCATCACGGGCGATAGCCTGCAGCAGACGGGGCGCCCCCGTCAGGCTCTGCAGGCCAGCACCACAGGTGGAGAAGAAGGAGCCGATGACAATGACCCAGGGGGACGGCCAGGCCAGCATGCCAATGACCAGGTTCCCTTGCAGGGCTTCCCCAAACCTGTGAGCAGGCAGGGTGGGCAGTTGGTACAGCTTCCCAAGGACAAATCGGAGACCCTCACCCCAAGTGAGTGGGACTGGTGGAAGGGCAGGGGGCTCCTGAGGAGGAGAGTCAGGCCCAAGACCCCTCCCGACCAGAGGCCCCACCAGGACCCTGAGGGGTTCTGGTGTGGAGGGCACTGCTCGCTGCCAGGCCACGCCTCACGGGCCGGGCAGCACCAGCTTCCTGTCGGCAACCCAGCAAGGCCCCGAGGTCTCCACTCACTGCTCCCCACCCAGCAGCCGCGCCTCACCGTCCTAGACCTGCCCCCACGCCCCAGCCCGCCAGGCACCGTGGCTGCACCCCGCGGCTCCCCAGGCTCTGGGCCCAAGCTGGGGCCTTGTTAGCGCCTCGATCAGGCCGAGGGCACCCAACCCCAGCACAAGGCTCTCGGCTCAGACGTGGAGCCGAGACGCTCTAGGAAGGTCGATTTTAAAGCTGAAGCTGCCCCCAGGAAAGAGGGTGCTGACCACACACGCCTGCCCAAGCCACCGTGGAAACCAACGCACTTATCTCGCAAGACCACGCCTTCAATGCAGGCCCCAAAAAGCACTATGCAGGAGAGATCTGCAGCCAGGTCAAGGTCGGTCAGTCCAGAGTGACGGCACAGCAGGCCGTGGGGGAGGGGGGCCCACTGGCCAGCAGGGCCCATCCCAGGCTCCAAGTGGGCCTCCTGGGCCAGTGTTCCCAGAGTCCCGTCCCCACACCCTGACCCACTGCTGTGCCCAGACCCCATGTCTTCAGTCCTCCCCTCTCTCCATCTTGTCGGGCTCCCAGGGGTCAGAGTGCGCTTGGCCTGCAGTGTGTGCGCGCTCTGGGGAACAGCAGGAGACCCAGCAGGAGGTCAGACCTCGGCTCGGAGGAAGACGCCTGGAGTCCGAGCCCACCCGGGTCAGTGTGCCCACCAGTCACCATCAGCTGTGGCCACACACGTCCCGTCAGACATGACACTGTGGGTTGCCAAGCCAAAGGTCAACATCGTGGCACATGGCCACCCGGAGGGAGTCCAGCTGTCGCGCTTGGTTGGGCGCATCGCACCACAGCACCCATAGCACCAGGGAGGGCAGAGGCACGGCCAGGACCCACCAGACCTGGAAAGCCCCCCCAGGCTGCTGCTGTGTAAGTGGGGAGGCCAGGGTCCACTCAAGGATACAGATAAAAGACGTGGTGACGATGGCCAAGATGGTCCCTGTGGGGATGGACTTCTGGGCGTCCCTGAGGTCCCCGGAACGGTTGGATCCTGCCATGATACCTGCAGAGGCAGACAGGAGGAGTGACGTGACAGGCAGCCCCGGCGAGGCACGCCCGAGGCCCTCAGCAAGGGCCAGCCAGGCCACAGCTGCCCCCACAGGCACCCGAGCCGCTGCACCATGGACGAGCTGGCCCAGAGGGCCCAGGCCTCCTCTCTCCACTCCACAGGATGGCTGCTACAGGGGCCAGGCTGAGGACCCCAGCTGCCCTCCGCGGGAGATGGAGGTCCCAATAACCTCCTCCAAGCTGCAAAGCAGGGCCAGCAGGTCCCCGGCACACCAAGGATCCTGCCACCTCGGTTCACCCTGTGTCCCAGGTCACAGACTCCAGAAGACGGAGCCCAGGGCTGACTGACTTGCAGCCTGATGGCACCAGGGTGGCAGGCATGGCCCTGAGACAGCTCCGGCCATGCCAGGCTGCCCTCAGCCTTCTCCCACCAGACCCCCGGGAGCAGCCACCCAGGGCCTGACGCTGCCCCAGCTGCACCAGCAGCTGCACCGCAGCCTGTGTGTGGGGAAGCCCAGCTGCGTGCGTCCACGCACCCACAGGCACGCCTGGCTGGCCTGCACCAAGAGGGCACTGCAGGGCCGTGCAGACCCGGGTGGGCGCCCACACCCAGCAGCCACCTTGGGCCACTGAGCTCGTTCCTGGGGGCTCTGCGCTGGCGGGGGAGCGGAGCACAGGGAGGGACGGGGAGGACAGGAGGCTCACCCGTCACGGAGGGGAAGTAGATGCCCACGAGCATGGTGAAGTAGGTCATGATGTCCGAGAGGACGTACGGCAGCCCGCTGGCCCGGCTCTCCTCCGACACAGGCACGGACGGCACGCCCTCCTTCTCCACAAAGGCCCCCTTGTCCGAGTACGCGCTCCACAGGTTATCTGCAGGAAGAGCAGGTCAGGCCAGGATCCGTCCTCCGAGATTCTGGAACCCTCTGCCAGGGCTCCTGGGGCCACGCAGGCCACCACGGGGGCCTGGGAAGGCTCACACTCTCCCCAGGTCACCTTTAAAGGAAGATGCCCAGTGGGAACCACATCTGGGGACCCCCTCTCCAAACCTCTGAGCCAAGACTCCAGCAGCAGGAAAGCTCACACATGCCCACTAAGTGCAGGAGGACCCAGGGCCTGCACAGTGCTGACCAGGTGCTCCAGGGACCCCACTATCTGCAGACCTCCCAGGCAGACCCCAGCTGGGCCAGCACAGGCTCATGCCACCTGCATACACTGTAGGCCCTCCCCACCGGGGAGACTTCATGGCCAGACTTGCCCCTCTGTGCCCCACAAAGCCCCCGCCAAGGCCTGTTCAGAGGCCGCCTCCTAGGGGCTGAGCACAGGCTCCAGCATGGACACAGACACGACAGGGCGGCCGCAGCCCAGTGCCAGCTCATGCTGTCCCCCACACACCAGGCCCGTCCCCGGGGCAGGGGCACAGACAACCACCAGCCTGGAGCCAACTTGCTGGCCTAACACCCATGTGGCTTCTTTGGCTCGGGGAGGGTCGGGGGCCACACGGGAGCCCACAGGCTGGTTGGCAGCAGCTGGGGAGGGCTGGCCATCCTGGCCATGTCCACAGGATAGCACCCCGCACCCTTCCCTGGCCGGACCCGCCCTCCTTACCCAGGAGGACACCGCTGGCCACACCAGGGATGCCCTGGATCTCAGTGACATTGTTCTGCACAAAGTACTCGTCGCAGGAGGCGCCGGGGCTGGAGCTGTTGCAGAAGAGGCTCCAGAGCGCGGTGGTCACCGTGCCGTTGCTGGCGACGTGCGTCTTGGCACAGGCCTCGAAGGTGCGCTTTGCCAGGGTGCGGTTCCCGAGGAGGCAGACCCTGCACGGGGAGGCAGACCCCCATCTCACCACTTCCACAGCTGACCACAGGAGTCTCCCGAGGCTCTGACGTGCCACAGCCACCATGGCAGCAAGGGCCACACACCAGGGACGGCTCCTGCTCCAGCTGCAGCAGCTCAGGACTCTTAGGGGCCGCTCAGCCCAGTGCCAGGGTCCAGTCCAGTCCTGCCCCAGTCCCTACCAGCCCAGGCCCTGGGCCCCACTCAGCCAGCCCACAGGGCCAGTGCTCCACGGATGGGTGGTGGCCCGTCCTACAGGCCCTCTTGCTCTCTGATGCTGGCCACCCCCGCCACCTCCTCATCCACAAGGGAGACAAGGAAAGGGCCCAACGGGAGGGCCTTCCATGAGGGTGCAGGAAGACTCTGGAGAAGCCCGCTGCCCAGTGGTCCACAGGGCTGCCGGCCACCAGTGGTGAGCCGGGCCCGTACCAGCCTCCGTCCCTATGGTGCACCCAGACCCGCTCCCTGCACAGGGACCGGCTGCACCCCAGCTTCCTCCAGGGAAGGAGGGACCGCCCAGGGCCACGCCCAGCCTGGAGAACAGCCGAGGCCTGGGCTGAGGGCAGAGGCTGCAGAACCCAGGGCCTCCCCCGCCAGGGCCAGCGGCCCCCACTCACGGGATGTCGGGCGGGTCGAAGGCTGTCTTGATGACACCGGCATAGATGGCCAGGATGGAGAGCACCACGCAGGCCAGGAAGACCAGGGCCAGCTTGTTGACGTACTTCACGCCCACGAAGACCACCATGGCCATGAGGGCCAGCGTGCAGCTGCCGTACACACGCATGTTGTTCAGCAGCGCCGCGGCCTCGCCGCCCGTCTCTGTGGCCTGGAAGATGGCCGCGCTGGGGGAGATGTAGGTCTGCAGGGAGCGAGGCAGCTCAGCAGGGCCCGCCGGCCCACAGGGCCCCCCGTCCAGGACCCCAACAGGGGCTTCGCACAGACCCCTTGGAGCCTCAGAGAGAGCACATCAGGCCCTGAGACACGAGGACCGACACGGCCCCAGGTCCCATTCCTTAAGTCATTCCCGACAACTGGGCCAGCCCGTGACCTGTGGTGTTCCCAGGACCAGGACAAGACTGCCCTTCACCTTCCAGAGTGGTCGCCCTGCCCCAGGCCCTCCCTGGCAGACAGGCCAGAGTGGCGGGGGGCAGGGTCCCAGCCACAGCCCTGGGAGAGGCAGGCAGCTCACTGTCCTGCACTGTGGCTGCTACAACTGGCTGCAGCCTCCAGAGAGCCAGCAGGTGGCCAGCCTGCCATCCGGGCAGCCCCACCTGGGACTTGCCTAGGGCCAGCAGACACTGGCCGGGCAGAGGGCGACAGTCCAGAGCCTAGCTGCCTGGGTATGGCCCAGCACCAACTGGTGCATGAGGAACTTGCTAGAAATGTAACAGTGTCCACTTTATGCTCCCAATACAAGCCCTTGCTGCTCGGGCCATCTCAGGGGAAACTCGTTACCTTTCTTCCCCATCCCAGGCAGAGTTACCTGTCCCTGAGCACACACCCACCACAGGAATGAAGGCACCAGACTTGGGATGGCACCAGAAGATTCAGAAATGACCGTCTCCCAAATTAACAAGTGCATCACACTCCAACAGAGAACACGGGAATGCCGCCCTTGAGTCGCCCTTTAACTGCCCCTGGTCCTGCTGAGGGGCAGAGTCACAGCCTCTGGGACAGGAGCCCCCTGGGTCTCTCCTTTGCTGATAGAGCAATGAACCTTCTTTTTCCTTTTTCTCAAAACCATGTCCTCGTTACTGGATTGGCATGGGGACAAGGACCAGCTTTGGGTCCAGCAGCAGTCCCAGGCCCTGGCCCAGACCTGAGTCAGAATGTGTGGGAGCCCAGGCTGCGTGTCCCCCTTGAGAAGACAGGAGGGCCTCCTCTGCAGGGGGGCCGCTCGGAGCAGAGGCCAGCCCCACCCCAGCTCTGGGGTCTGGCAAGCAGGGGGAGGGCAAGGTCCAGGACTCAAGGCCAACAGCCTTGTCCTGCTCGGTCCAAACGCCCAGGCGGGAACTCCAACTCCAACCTGGGGAAAGCCTCGCACTGAGGACGCCGACCAGCAGCCCGCGGCAGCCGCTGAGCAAACACACCGCCCAGGAGGCGCGTCCAGAAGCAGGGACAACAGGGTGGGGCCAGGATCCTGTCAAGGGGCCTCTCTCCTGAGCACACAGACCACAAGGCCACACTGCCACCCAGGGCTCAGACGCTCGGGAAGCACCAGGTGCTCCTCACAGAGAGGACGTGAGGGTGTCCCGAGGGACACCTACCACAGCAGCTGGCACCCAGTGCTCCACCCACAGCCCAAGGCAAGGGGGCAGGGGTCCGGCTCTGGAGGCGTGCAGGGCAGGGCACAGTCAGAGGGGCAGCATGGTGCCAAGGGGGAGGTGTGGATGGTGCCCTTTCAGCAGCATGCAAACCGGTCCCTGGGTGGAAGGCCTTGGCAAGGGACACTGCAAACCGCACACTCACCAAGAAGATCTCAATGGTGCCCAGGATGTACATGGCGCCTGCAAAGGTGGTGCCCAGGTAGAAGCAGAGACCCACGGCCCCTCCAAACTCAGGCCCCAGCGAGCGGGATATCATGTAGTACGAACCTCCAGCTACAGGCAGCAGAGAGAGCAGACCATCAGGGAGCGCACCCCTGGGGACCAGATGGCAAAGCGTGGCCCTGCGGAGGGACCTGGCCCAGTCCCACCCTCAAAACTGCAGGGGACCCTGAGCCCTGGTGCCAGCCCTCCTGTGGAAAGAGGATGGCGTGGGTGGCAGTCAAGAGCCACTCCACCCAGAGTCCAAGTGGCTCCCAGCAAGAGGTCCATGTGACTTTAGTTAAAAAAAGAAATCAGGGAGCCAAGTCCTCGGGGAGCTGCTGGGTGCGTTCTGCGTCACCCTAAAGAGTCCTCAGGGCATGGTGGTGGCCATGGCCTGCCGCCCCTCCCTGGTCTGTCCACCAACAAGTGGGTGGACTCAGACCATCACACCTCAGCAGGACACCAGGAAGGTCCAGAACACTCCTGGGGTGCACCCTCCCCCACCCCAATCCTCCCCAGGCAGCACCACGGCCAGGCCACGGAGCTTTGTCCTGAGCTCAGCCAGCAGAGGCTGGGAGAGGGCGGAATCCAGGGCCTCAGTGCAAAGCAAGCTCAGCTGCCCACAGAGGGACACGAGGGGCAGCGGGTGGTCACGACCCGGGCTGTGAACTGACGTGCTTGTTAATTATCACGCGTGTGTCCACTAGCACGTCACCGTTCCCTTATTCGTCTGCAGGGGGCATCCCGCTGCCCCTCTAGCTGGGACCAACCTTCCTAGGACGCAGGCCCCAGGCTGCAGGCCTTCCAGACCCCGTTCTGCTCCCTGCAGGGGCAACTACATGGTGACGCAGGGACAAGTGAACAGGTGAGACGCCACAGGCTCAAGTGACAAAGAGAAGCAAGAAGGAACAGGACCAGGCCACCTGCACACAGGCGTCCCCACGCCCTGGGCTGGGCCACCTCGCCTGCTTAGTACTACTGCATGCTAAAGAACATGGTCCTGGGGCCCATGGTGAGCACCCGCCTCTGTCCAGAGAGCAGAGGCCGAGTCCAGCACCTTCCAAGCCCGCTCCAGCAAGCAGCCAAGACAGCAGCACACACAGGCGCAGCAACACACCTGCCCCGGCCTGGGCAGGGCACTACAGGCCAGCCACTGCCCGCACACAGGGTGGCATGCCTTCCAGGAGAGCCCAGGCTGCCTCCTGCACACGAAACACCATCCTCAGTCACAGAGGACAGCAGGCAGGTAGAGGTGTGTCTGCACTGGGGCCCACGTTGTGCAATCCCTGAGCAGCACAATGCCCAGGCCACCCCAGTCGAAGGGTTAAGGTCCAAGTCACCATCACTATGAAGTAGACAGGACTCGACCTCCACGTGCACGTGGCTCAGGTACCACACTGTGCAAGACTCCTCCAGACCAAGGGCAGGCGCCCCTTACCTGGGACCACACCGTTGGTAGCGATGGCACTCATGGAGATGGCGGTCAGCATCGTCTGTAGAGAGACAGGCAGCCTGGGGCCCAGCCACTCACTCCCGGGCTCCTCATCGCAGAGGAGCCCCTGAGTGACCAGGATCAAGAGGCGCAGGCCCTGCCACTGCCTTCTCCTGCCCACCACAAGGCTTCCTCTCGCACCCGCAGGCGAAGCCCGGACTGGGACACTGCCCAGCCCTAAAGGCAGGGTCCATCTATGCCTACTCATGGGCACAAGGATACCTCCTCTAGGTGTGTACCCAGCAGGGTACAGGTGGCCCCATCTAGTGTCCACTTCCCCAGGGGCATCATGGTGTCCAGTTAGCCAGGGAGGGCCCTGTCTCCAGCTACCCGCCCCTGCTCAGGAGAGCCTGTCTCTGGGCACCAGGAGTGACCAGCTGGGACAGACAGCAAGATCTGGGGCAGGGGGAGGGTAAAGAAGAGTCCTTCCCAGAGAGGGCACCCCAGGTCGCCCTGTGACTAGAGCAGCTCTTCCTCACCAGAGCAGGGGAGGAGCTGAGCTGGGGGCTGGGCACCCAGAGGGCCAACCGGACGAGGCAGCCGCGGTGGCAGAGAAGCCAGCGCAGGGAGGCGACACGGGCACGAGACACAGGGGTGGGGGGCTGCCAGCTCCCCACAGTGTGCCGGGCAAGGCTC